GTGGTTGTCTTCTTTTATTCCATTTAAGATTTCCCTGGCTCTTGGTATGAGTCTATGTTACGAGACTCTAGCTTTTATTATTTTCAGCTCCATTAAATTTATTTACTAAGCAGCTTTATTTAGACATGATCTACTGAAAGTAAGTAATTCAGTGGTTTATAGTACATCCACAGATCTGTGCAACCATTACCTGGTCAATTTAATAGCATTTTCATGGCCTCAAAAGAAACTTTATTATTCCCCTTCCTCCAATTGTAAGCAGCCACTGATTTACTTTCTTTCTCCATGGTCATTTCATATAAGTGGAGTTATAATATATATTCTTTTGAGACTGGCTTCTTTAACTTAGGGCTATGTTTTTAAGGCTCACCCATGTTGAGGTGCCTGTCATTACTTCATTCTTTTTTAGGACAAGATAACACATATACATAGATCACATAATTGTTTATCATCAATTGATGACATAGGTATGATGTTAGCCACAGGTTTTGTGTAGATGTTCATGATGAGGTTGAAAGAGAACTTGTTTTCTCTAGTTGGTTGGTTGGGTTGTTTTGTTTTTTGTTTGTTTGTCATCAAAAGGTTTTGTATTTTGTCAAATACTTTTCTGTGTCCACTAGAATGACCATGTGGCTTTTATTTTTTATTTTACTGCTGTGGTGTATCATATTAATTATTTTGAAAAGTTAAATCATCCTTGCACAAATGGGATAAATTCCATTTGGTCATGGCATATAACTTTGATATGCTGCTGGAGTCAATTTGGTGGTATTTTGTTGAGAATTTTTACTTTCCTATTTATAAGAGAAGCCTGGTCTTCTTTCAGGTTTCTTTCCTTGTGAACTCTTTGGTTTCTGTATCAGGGTAATAACTGATCTCATGAAATGTGTTGGAGAGTTCCTTTCTGTCTTTTTCTTGTCTTAGTCTTTTTATCTGTTATTAGTATAGCCACTTTAGCTGTCTGATGGTTATTGTTTTCATGATCTATCTCTCCCCATTCTTTTAATTTCACTTTGTTTATATGGTTGAATCTAAAGTTCTCCTGTAGCCAGTATACAGTTGGGTCTTGTTTTCTTTTTATCCAATCTCACAGTCTCTGCTTTTGGATGGGATTGTGTAGCCCATTTACATTCTATGATTGGGTTTATGTCTGTTATTGTACTTTTGGTTCTTTGTGTATCTCATATCTTTATTTTCTATATTCTTTTATTGCTTTCTTTTGCATTAAGTGAATTTATTATAGTGTAGCATTTAAAATTTCTAATTTTCCCCCTGTATTTTTCTATTCCCTTCCTCTCTGGTACTCTAGGTTTACCATGTACATCTTATTTCATGAAAATAAGCTTCAAATTTATACTAATTAGCTCCAGTGAGACATAGAAATGTCACTCCTGTGTGTCTGTTATCCCTTCCCTCTTTCTGTGCCATTATTGATGTACATATATTTATAAATGTTAGAAGCCCAACAACACATTCTTATAAGTTTTCTTTTATATAATTTTATATATTTCAAATAAACTGGGAGATGAAAGAAGAGCAAGGATGTATATGTGGATTTGGCTTTGTTGATGTTCTCATTTCTGACTCTCCTCGTTTGTTCCTGTGGATTTGAGGTCCTATCTGGAGTTACATCCGTAGCCTAAGGCAGTTTTGTTCACCTCCTTGAAGTGCTTTTCGTGCATGGTTTGAGGTAGTGGTGTAATCTTCACTTCACTGCAATACAAATATCAAATTAACCTTAAGATTTACTGAAAATATTTTTTCTACTGCATTGTTACCCTTGTGATCGCATCAAATAATCACATTCTTTGCAGTCTGTTTCTGAAAGTCTTTTTCTGTTGCATAATTTTTTTGTTTTTTAAACTACATTCATATCATTCTTAATTATTAGAGTGTAGCAATCCTTCCCATATCTGATAATGTAAGTCCCTGATTCTGTACTTTAAAATTGCCATGAGTGGTCCTAGCTCATTACACATTTTTGTACATTTTTAGAATTATTTATTCTGTTTCAAAATAAGAACCTGGTGGGATTTTGATTGGTGCTGCATTGAATCTATAAATCAGTTTGGGAAGAATTCACATCTTCCTGATGAGTCTTCCAATCTTTGAACAACAAGATATATTACTTTAAAAAAATTTTTCTCAATAATATTTTAGTTTTCTTTGTAGGAGACTTGAATATTTCTCATAACGTTATTTTTAAGTATGGTATTTGACATTCTTTAATACCAACAAATATTATACAATTTTCAATGTAAAATTATTGATCATTAGCATAAAAATAATTAGGTTTTGTATTTTGAGAGCTTGTTGAAGCTTCTTTATAATTGTAATAGTTTATTAGTGGATTTTTAGATATTACATATACAGAATAATATTTAATATGACTAATTTTAGTTTTATTCATTATTTTTCCATCCTTATACCATTTCTTTATCCTTCTTGTTCTATTGCATTGGCTGCTACCATCTTGGGAATGGTGAGTGATATTCTTGTATTACTTTGATTTCAGAATGAAATCAACAGGGTATTTTTTTCAGATTTGTTATGAATGGCCTTCATTAGATTAAGGAAATTCTCTTCTATCCTAGTCTTCAAGGAGTTTTTATTCTTAACGACAATTGTGTTTTATGAAATGTTTTGTGATGTCTTATCCTTAATTCATGGTGAAACTGATCAAACAGCTCCCAAAGTTAAACAAACTTGCATTCTTAGAAAGGACATAATTTTGTAGTGATGTGTTATACTTTTTGTATATTGCTAAATTCAATTTTCTTTTTCCCCTTTGATTTTCCCTAGCCTTGGCCTCTCATTTAGAGTCATGGATGAAATCTTAGAAAGAATTTTCTTTATGTATTTACTTTCTGTGAAAATTATGAGACAATTCAGATTTTAAAAGTTTTTTTTTTCTAATGTTTTCTTGGGAATGTGTCTAGTTCCCTAGTTTTAACTTGATTTTTTAACTTTTTACATGCACTATTAATTTATAAGCTTTATTTTTAATAAAAAGCATTTGTATGGTTCCTTATATTTTTAATAACATTTCTCCAAAAGAAGAATTTTGGTTGTATCATATGTTTCATTTGGTCATATTTTTATCTAGTTCAAAATATGCTATGATTTCTGTTTTGATCTCTGATTTGACCAGTGGATTACTTAGAAATTATTCCTGGATTTTTAAGCATTTGGGAATTTTCTTTTTGACATTTGCTTCTATTTGATTTCCACTGTGTTCAGAAAATACCTTCTTTATAATTTAAATCATTTGAAATTATTTTATACTTCATTTATGTCCCATTATATGGCCAATTTTAGTAATTATTACACTTGAGTATTCTGCATTTTAAAAAAAAAATCGGTATTTTTCGCATTGGATTATCTTGTTTGCTTATTTTGTTCTTCAAATATTCTACATCTCTATCTTTCTTATTTGTCTCTATTGTTAATTCCTGGAGGATGAGTTATGTTCTTCCTCTGTGATTGTAAATTTGTTAATTTCTCTTTTTAATTCTGTCATTTTACATGTGATACATTTAAAAAGAATTAGGTGGTTGCCATTTAGTATTTACGCAGTCAGGTGTATCTACCCCTTATCATTTTAAAACATCTTTTCCTGTCTAGTGACACCTCTTACCCTGAAGTCTACTTCATGTGATATTTTATAGCCTTAGAAGAACTCTTTCAGTTACAATTTGTACAGTTTATCTTTTTCCATTCAACTTTCTGGAACTTTTTTTTAGGGTATATATCTTAGAAGCAGCATTTACAGTACTTAGCTTTTACTCTTCACTAAACTTGACTTCATTTAAATTTTATTTGGAGCACTTAGTCCATTTATGTTTAATGTAGTTAATATTTATAGTAAACTTAATCCATTTTAATGTTTACTTTCTGTTTGCAATGCCTTTTTAAAACTATTTTTGCCGTCTTTCAACATATTGGCAATTGTTTTTCATTATTTCTCTTTATTTTGTATTAGATAGAAGTTGCATATTCTTTTACCTGATTTTGATTTGTTATTCTAGAGCAATGGCCTCAAACCTTTTGACCTCAAGGACTGGTTTTGTGGAAGACATTTTTTTCACAGATGGTGGGGGATCACATTATATTTATTGTGCACTTTATTTCTTTTATTATTATTATTATTACTACATTGTAATAGACAATGAAATAATTATACAACTCATCATAATGCGGCATCACTGGGAGCTTTGAGCTTGTTTTCCTGAAACTAGATAGCCCCACCTAGGAGCAATGGAGGACAGTGACACCCAAAGTGTGTTGCTAATGTCCAGTCTATTCCATAACCCCATTTTGGTTGCTGTCACTGCAGAAAACCCAGCTTCATACAGAAAGGTTGCAAATGGAAGCAGGTTTTGCAGGAACTTTGTGGCAATGTCAGGATATTCTGCCACGATATGTGGAGATTTGAAGTTGCCTCAAACATACTTTGAAAGCCACTATTATTTGCATTCCCAAGCAGTTGATCCTCTTTAAGGTCGAACAAAGTTGATTCACTGGCTTATTCACAAATGGCTCCTGGATCCGTTCCTTCCCAGGGTGTATGGGGTTCTGTATGTGGACAAAGTCTGCTCACATGGAAATTACCCATATACACAGGTGTGTGTGTCTTGACATGTGGGTGTACAGCAAGGGCAAAGTCTCTCTATGTGGAAGTACCCCCACACATGTTTACCTGAGCACGTGAGCGTATCTGCAGGGGCCAAGTCTGTTCATGTGAAGTTACACATGCACAAGCTGTGCACATTTTAGCACATGAGCAGGCTGATGTGAGAAGAGGCTTCCTGTGGAAGCCCACACATGTGCATGTGCACGCATTAGCACATGGGTGAGCCCACCCAGATGGAATCTGCATGTGGGTGTGATTGATTTGACCAAGTCCTGTGACTGCAGTTTCTGGTGATTGGGCAGAGAAGTGCTGACCCAAACCTGCAAGGATCACCGAGCTGTGGCTTCTCTTCTCTCCTGTCCTCCAGGATTTCGTGTCTTGTATTGAGAACTGCAGACGAAGAGGACAGGAGCTGTATGCATCTCTGTACCAAGATCACATTCAGGTGAGACACAGAGCCCGTCTCTGCAGAGTTGGCCAGATCCCACTCGAATCTCAAAGAAAAGGACCCCTAGGGCCTTTGGTTTGAGTGCTGGATTGCAGCAGTCAGTAGTAGTCACCAGTGTTCAGTCTTTCCTGCACAGCCCATGCAGTAGACTGAGGCCCGATGGTCAACCACCAAGGGTCAGGCCTGTGTCTGTCACCGGTCCACTCAGAAAATGGGTCCCGGAATTGCTGGGAGCTGCAGCACAGTGTAAAGACACAGGCCTGGCCTTGCTCCCAGAAGACCTCCCTCTAACAGCAAGGTCTATGTGAAACAACTTCGAAGTCAGTAGTACTTATGACATTACGGTGGGCACTGGATGGGGAGAGCACAGGTTCAAGCAGAGATTACATTGAGAGACTTCATCATAGGAAGTGACTGTGAGCTGAGACCTGGAGGAGGGGGAAAAGGGGCTGGGAGGACCTGGGCTGTGAGGGACAGGGTGAAGGGCAAGCTGAGACCTAAGCAGACCAGGCCGAGCCTAGTAGGGTGTTGGGTTCTTATCCCGGGTGCAGTGGGTTACCAGGAGGGAGAGCGGGTCCAGGTATCTGAAGCCCTTGCATAGCATGACTTCCACCCAGATGAGGCAAAGAGCTCTCAGGCCAGACACAGGCCTGGGGTCTGAGCCTCAAGGTTTTCATCTTCAAGAAAAGAGAATACTTCCCACATGTGAAGATTAAAGAGCAATAAGACTAGGGCTGCTGGTATAACCCTGGCATCTAGAAGGCTGAGGGGGGAGGATCACAAGTTGAAGCCCAGCCTGGGCAACTTAGCAATGCCCTGTCTCTGAATAAAACATTTAAGAAAGGTTGAAGATGTGACTCAGGGTGAAGGCTCTGGGTTCAATCCCAGTAGTGCAGTGACAAAAAGGGCAAATTAGGAAGTGCTAGACTGCAGTGAGTAGGGAATAGATACCCTGTGCATGGTTATGCCATGGCTAAGAAGTCAGATTTAGTTGGTGTAGATTTTGTTGTTGTTGTTTTTGTGGTACTGGAGACTGAACTCAGGGCCTCACACTGAGCTACATCCTAAGCCCTTTTTAATTCTGAGACAAGATTTCAGTAAGTTTCTAAGGTACCTTGGCTGGGTTTGAACTTGCAATCCTCCTGCCTCATCTTCCCAGAGTGCTGAGATTACAGGCATGCATCACTGGGTCTGGTTAGTTGGTATTATTTTTGTTAATAACAATTTTAAAAATGATTTCTAATTATGAAACATGCCATACAGTATCAAAACCTTATGGGTTGTTTTTTACTGAGCAGTTTCTCTGTTCCAAAGCCTGTCTGGGTAGGAAACACAGCCCCAAAGACACTACAGCTCTGCCTGGGAGGTGCTTAAACCTAACAAAGGGACAGAGGGAGCAGAGGTTCCCACAGGTGGGCCAGTACTGGAGGTTCTGCCTTAAGGGCTACAGTGCAGCACAGGGAACCTCCCTTGACCAGTCGGAGCCCGGTGCTAGGAGCCAAAGGAGGTGTAGAGCAACTGGAGTGGTCACCTGGTCTACTTCTCCCAACGGAAGCTTGCTTGGGGTCCCCTGATGTGCAACTGGCAGCCCAGAGCACACAACAGCCTCTCCGATTGTCCTGGGTGATGAGGAGCAGAGGCCTGCCGTGGATGGGTCAGGGTCTGGGCCCCTGTGGAGGGCGGATGGCATGTCTAGTTTCTGTGGCAAGCTTTGGATTAGGTCTTCTGGGGCACCTCCCGTCGGTACTGCTGAGCACACTCTGGTGGGTGCTGTCTGTTCCCCCTGGCAGCTCCTGCAAGGCAGAGCCCCACATGGACTTATTGGTTGTGTCCAGGATGAACAACTAGGCTGATAGGCTCAGTTGCCACTGAGGGAAGACAGGGAGAATTGGTTAGGATTGTGTCCCTGATTTGGGACATCCTTACATCATTTTTAGACAGAGGAGAGGTTTATAAAAATCCAGATCAGCCTCAGCACCATGGAGTGAGGCCATCTCTTTTGGGGGAGCAGGGAGGTGTGTGCATGGGCCCTGTGTCTGCTGAATTCGAGACACTGCAGGCTCCTGGGGTGGCGGGACCTCACAGAGGTCCAGAGGGGAAGGACCAGCTTCCTGCAGGGTGGCCCAGCTCATCTGCAGCAATGGGACTTGATGGAATCCGGGGAGTACTTAAGAAATTTGTGCAGTTTTGCCATTGCTTAGGTATTTTTGAGAAAAATCAGCATTTTGGAGCTAATCCATGAGGATACTTTCTATGTGTTTAAATATTTAAAACGTTGTTTTGATATTTAAAAGAATGCAGATGTAATTGCTGTCTGCTGGAGATAATGGGGTCTGGAGCAGTCACCCCACTTTTAAGGGGCAACACACTTTCCCAACAAGGCCCTGCTTGGCTTCCAGAAAGCTCCATGCTCAACCTGGACAACGCTCATCAGCCTTTCTGTATCCCTGCGCAGTGACTTGACTCAGCCAGGGGTTAGTGCTCAACCTGAAAACAAGCCTAAGGTCCACAGAGCCAAGTGCAGAGGCTGGAGGCAGGGAAGAACTGGGCACCCAAGAGAAGGTCTAGCATGGCCAAGTGAGCAGCTGGTCAGCCAAAACCCTCAGCTGCTCCTCACAGAGCCTTCCTGTGAATGTCAGTTATGGCACTTGGTCACTTGTGGTTGGAGCTGAAAGAGGACCTTCCACTGTGCTGACACTGGGTACTGAAGAGCACACCTGCCATGCAGGGACCCAGGGCTTCTGCAGCTTGGTCACCTGGCAGACTCTGTCCTGGGGCCACATGCAACTTGCTGTTGTGACATAGACGTCGTTTCTCTCGGGAATCTCTCCCAGGAAAACGCCTCTGGCTGTCTGCAGATTTGTACGACAACACGCGTGCTCTTGGTGCAGCCTGGGATTGCACAGGAGGGGCCCTGTGTGAGGAAGGTGCTCATAATTAAAGGACCTCTGTGCAGCCCTGGCTGCAGGCCCAAGGGGTTAGGATTGCTTCTTCCTCATCAAGGGTAAATGTTACTGCAGGCCCAGCTGCAATCTCCAGGGGACTGAAATCTTTCCCCAAAGCGAGTGTTCCTTTCATGGGATCAAAGGTTGGTGAAAAGCTATTAATGGTTGTTATTTTTCTGGGGTTCCTTGTTAACCACTTGGAATCCTGTATAAAGTGCTGTGACAGTTTTGGATATGAATTTAGGAACTGGATAGTAACAAAATCACCTTGTTTTTTGAAATGGGATTAGCTTTATTCACAGTCCTGACACTATGTGAACTGGGGATGGCACCATATCACACTATTGTCTCAGTCTTTCCCTGAGCCAAGGCTCTGTGACAGTGGTGACATCATGAACCACATGAGATGGATGAGGAGCTAAGGTTCTTCAGGTTCAGCTACTGGTGAATAGCAGGAACAGGGTGACTAAGGTCACTAGACACCAAAGGCCACCTACAGGGCACTATTTCCTCCCCCCAGACTTGCTTGGGGCAAGTTCTGAGAATGATTTCCCCATTTGGAATAGCCCAGATTGCCTAGACATGAAGTTCTGCCAGTTGTTGAGGAAATAGCAGCAGAAATCTTAAATCTATAAAAAAAAATAGGCCCCCTCTAAGAACTCCAGCTCATACACTCAAAGGGAGACTTTAGAACCCACAGGCTGGGTTTCATTCTCAGCTTGTCCACCTCTTAGACTTTGCAGGAATCACTTCTCCTGTCCGGACTCACTGTCTCCATGGGGACAATAGAAATTTTTGCTCATGGTGCCCACTGCCTAGAGAGAATAAGGTCAAGCAGGTGCATGGCAGAGCCAAATGTGGGGTCACGGGTTTCTCTTCTATTTATGCTCAGTTTCTGAGACCTACATTTCTTGTCATTAGAACTTCCGTGCTTCTATTTTCTGAAAAGTTAAAATTTAGGGCAAATACCATGAAATACTTGAATAATATTTATTTGAATAAAGTCAACCCTGCAGAGAAGTTGGTTCCAGTGTCTGAACTGGACTGCCATGTTTCCCTGCTGGGTGAGGTGTGGAGTGTCAGTGTGGCTGACAGGAGCAGCTTACTTAGGCTGTCGTATATTTACATAAAGGTCCAAATTATACTCTGCAGGAGGTGTGCCACTCAAAGACCACATGCAGAGACTTTATGGGCTTCATAGCTACCAGATGGGAGTATTTTCACTAAGACAAAAAGTATAAGTTTTTGTGAACACTCTTGAACCCTTAGACATTCAAGAATCATATGGAGCAGGGTTTGAAAGCCCTTAGACGTCATCTGGGCCCCACAGTTGGGGACTCTGAGGTCAGGAGTTGAGAATGAACTGCTCACGTGACTGTCACCGGGCTGCCAGCCCCCACTGTTTCTCTTGTAGGAGATGGGAAGAGTATCATATCCAGCATCCCTTGGAAGGGCAGGGAACCTGGTGAAATTCCATGTCCCATTGTAAAACAGCAGTTCAATTCTTACTGATAATTACTTTCAGGACCCTTGGGCCCTGCTGCCTTCTTCACACCAGGAGTCTGGTGCCTCTGAGGGTCAAAGAGTAGACAGCTTTCTTCTCCCCCACATGGAATTGAACCATGTCAAACCCTGCTCCTGGCCTGGTGCTGGCTAGAGGGGTGTCTTTCTCTGCCAGTTATGAGGTCTTGGTCTTCTCATCCTGGAGGGAGCTGGGCCTGCCAATAAGGAACATGTAGCAAAGGTGATCACTGTTTCTGCTCCTCAGAGGCAGCGATGTAGCAACATCAAGGCAGCCAAGGCCTGGGACCGGATCCAGGAGCAACTGTTTGGGGAGCTGGGCTTGTGGGGCCAGGCGGCTGGAGAAGTCATGCCCTGCTCCCAGTGGGAACTGGACTGGAGAGAAGGCCCAGCTCGCATGAGGAAGCGCATCCGCCGCTTGTCTCCACGGGAGGTTGGCAGCCCAGGAGGGTGCGAGGTAGGTGTAGGTGCACAGGGACTTGGGATGATGGTTTCTGCACTTCCACCAGGTGGGAGAGAGAATGCAGGCAGGTACAGAGAAGAGTCCCATAGCTTATTCCAATGTCCTTTAACACGAGAACAGGAGGTGCTAATCCTCCCAGGTGCATAGAGCAATGCTGTAACTGGAGTCTAGATGGAAGGAAGGTGCGCCGACAATGGACGAGTGGTTCACATGGTGGCCCTGACACCCAGGACACATTTTGCTGTCTCCTGGGGTCCAGGGGCCAACCCAGTGTCAGTGGACACAGGGGTGGCAGCATCTGCTAGCACAAGCTCTCTGTCATGGAGCACTTGGGCCCCATACCACTGTGGGCACTGTTTATTGCATGAGCAAATCCCACACCAAGTTTTACAATGGAAATCTCCTGACTCAGTGATTTCTGCCAGCTCCAGCCACTGACCCAGTTAGTCCATGCCATGCTGAGGCTGTGCCCACTTCCAGAGCAGTAGGGCTCGGCCGTCCCTGGGACTTTGCCATAATGAAGCTGCACTTGACCACGAAAACATGGCTTTGCCTTCCTTTTAAGGGATGGGAAGCCAGGTGGACTCATTCAGTCCTGGATGTAGAAGAGTCTGTTCACAGCTATCACATCCTTGTTGAACAACCGTGATTTAAGCTCTTCTGAAAGGCAGCCTTCCAGACAAGGGGTGCCCAGTACTTTCTTCCCAGGGTTCAAAGTTGACTTTATTCTCTAGTCTGTAACCCCAGAATGTCTCAGCAATGCTAAGAACCTTTTAGAGAACCTAATGAGAAGGCTGTATTTTACTCATTCAATATTTTAAAGCTGTTGTCAGTAAGCATCTGGTGGTTTGTAGTATTTTTTTCCTCCATACATTTCTTATGAATTGAAGGCAGGAAAAGGAATAATATGCCCTGTGCCAGGACTGTGCCCTGTTCTGGGACTGTGGTCCCTGGTCTCTTGGGCCTGTCCAGTCCCAGGTCCTCTGAGCCCCCACTCCAGGGTGACCACACAGATAAGCAGCATGCTCTCCAGCGCGTCTTGGCACCGTCATCGGTAATTACCGTACATTCTACTTAATGGAAGATTGTGGATTTTTCCCTTTGACTCAGGAGCATTAATGCTTGTATTTTACTGTGGTGCTTTAGCATTTAGTGTTTCCCTCCTCTTGCACCTGAGTCTTGAGTAATCTAAAGGGTTTGCTTGCATGTTTATGAATCTATGGAAAAGGCTTGGGATTTCATTTTTTTTTTCTGGTCTTATTTCAGGAAAGCCAAGACCAAAAGGGTGATATTTCACAGAATTATGCTGAAAAACAAGGTATTGGGTTTAATAGGTTATTATCTCCTTGAATAATTAAACAAATCATGGTTTATTTTTCTTGTTTGTTTATTTTCTGGTTTTGTTAAAGGTATTAAATTAATATTTTGGGAGAAGAAAAAGCTGTAAAGATAGGCTAAGCAGCCCTAAAACTTTCCTTACTGTGTGGCCAGACTAAAGAGTATCCTGTCCCAGGTCTAAGCATGCCGTTAGCACGGGGATTTCGGACTGAGTTTGGAATAAGACACATCTTTATGGAGAAATTGGCTTGCCAGTTTGCTATATCAGGGAGACCTGAAAGTGTCCCCAGACAATCCAAATACATGTTCGGTAGGTGACAAAAACACCTAGGCAAAAATAAAAACATGTCTTAAAATGAAAATGGATAGCATAGATAGTTAGTTCTTTTTACACTGGACTTCCCAAGGATGTAAATGACATATATCAGAGTCAACTGTTATTTCCCGCACTTTAGGAAAACGCTCGGAGTCATTTTGGATGTGAATGCTTCCTCTTTGTGTAATTCTTATGGAGAGATTGCTTGTGTTGATTTGCTGAAAATGCAGAGTTTATTTTCAGAGGTAATGTTGTGACGAACATGTCCAAATACACATGCACACACACATGCACACATGCGCACACAATTTCAAATTTTCTGTTTTCACCAAAGACTCTGCCTTTGGCTCTAGTGCTCCTGGCCTGTGAGCCTGTGAATTTTGTTGCAGCCTGGCTGTGGTTGTTTTTCATTCCTCCACCCAGTGATACCACCTTGTGCCACCGGAGCGCCAGTCCTTTGCAGCCTGAGGAAAGGCCTTGTGCTGCACCCACTGCCTGACCTGTCACAGTAATGGACACACAAGTGAGAATCGTGGGCTCTGAGCCCCGCTGAGAGGACTCAGAGGAGGACTGGAGAGAGTTGTGCTGATCCATGGACTGTGGCTGTGGGCAGCTTATTCCACTGGGCCCTGACTGCCCTGGTATTTCCTGCATGGATCCCGAGTGGGGAGCACAGTAGGAGAAAGGAGAGGGCTGTGCTTCTCCAGCATGCTTCCAGCTTCCCATACCCGCATGGGCAGAGCCTAGGAGGGCTGCCATGTGAGCAGGAGACACTCTCATCCAGATTTGCAGTTGTTCGGGGAGGTGGTCAGAGAGCTGAGCATCTAGCCACAAAAACGGCTTTGCAGTCATGATGGATGTGAGCCTGCTCCAGGTGGGGGACGCTTAAGACATATGCGAACAGAAGAAGTGGGATCCAGAAATCCAGGTAGTTACATGCCTGGCTTGGACCCAAATGTCCCTGCCTTTGGGAAATAAATCTAGATACACACCTGAGTGATTGCAGCACAGTACATTGAGGCACTAGAGATACAGAAACCATCCAGACCTCTAAAAAACAGGAGATGAGTTCAATGGTTATGAACCAGCCACATGACAGAATATCTCACCAGCATCTAAATTGTTCAAGAAACTTGAAATGGGATGGCATGGTGCTCACGCTATAATCTTGAATGGAAAAAATTAGCAAAGAAAGACTGCAAACACAATGTTATTCTTATCATGACACAATCCCATGTGCACGTGTGTGCATGTATAGGTGAACACAGAAAAGGTCCTGGGAGTAGACCAGCTGTACTGAGGGCATGGAGGCCAGTAGCCTAGGGGCAAAGATGCTGGACTTGGGGCCCAGGGGGGCTTGGTTCAGATTCTACTTGTAGTTCTCAGGAGCCATATGATCTTGTGCAAAGTAAACAGCCTCTTTCAGTTTTCCCTTTGTGATGAGAGGGATGAAATAGTGCCCACCCCTTAGCAGTACTGGAAGAACACATGTCAGATGTGTTCAGCATAGAGAAGGCACTTGCTGAACAGGACCAGTTACTCTCTGCACTCTGGATATGGGTAATGTCTGTTTCATTTCTCACCACATCATGGCTTTTCTGAGTTTTTACAAGAGAAGATATTAGATGTTAGAAAATATCAACAGTAGTGTTCAAAGAGTGAACTAAGTGGGGACTGGAAGGAACTACTCCCAGAGGAGCCTTGAGATGTGACTGGTTAATGAGGGGGTGGACTTTGGAAGGTTGTGCTGGTGACACTAGGCCTTCTGGGGAGGTGATTGTGAAGGTGTGTTGACCATGCCACAGGGCCAGGCAGGTGTCCCTTTCCTGAAGCAGGAAAGACACACTGAGCAACCTACACTGCTCACTCTGCCTCCAGGCCTTGCAGTCCTCTTGGTGACACAGGGGCACACCACACACCCTCCCCTGTGACACATCCCTTGATGCTGTTGCAGGTGAGCTGGCACCAAAGGAGGCCGAGTGCAAACTCGACGAGGTGGCGCTGGACTGCACCCAGCTCACCTTCTTTCCTGCCCTGAACGAGAGTCTGCACTCAGAAGACTTCTTGGAACTGTGTCAGGAAAGACAGGTCATCCTGCAGGAGCTCCCAGATGGAGAAAAGGTAACACACACCACCAGTCACCCTTGCAGACTGTCAGGCAGGAGAGACCCATGGGTATGCAAAGGAAGCCCTGTGCAGAAATGTGACTCAGGCTAACAAACTGCTCAGTGGAAGCTGCCGAACTTCCTATTTTAGCTTCCATCACCGCCTGGAAGGCTAGTATCAAGTTAGAGACTCTTGGCCTTATAGGTCAGACCCTGCCTGCAGTCCGACCCCTGAAGGACCCCATGCTCTACCCTGGGGCCTGGTGCCTATGTTTGGACCCTCCCACTCCTGTATCCAAGATGTCCCATCCTTGGCCTCCCCTGGCCATGACTCAGGCCTAAGTGTAAGAACGCATATGGTGAGTCCACCCTGAAGGGCACACAGGCCAGACGTCGAGCTGGGGCCAAGCAGCAGAAAGCCAGGGTCTGGGGCTTGAGCCAGCTGGAGAGCTCAATGTTCCCTGCCCTCTTGGTGTGGCAGGAAGAGAACTAGAAGCCTCACTAAAAAAGTCACCCAGGCAAGAGCCCTGCTGCCTGAATCTATGAATGGTCCAGAGGATAAAGCCCAGGTCTTAATGTAAAACAGACCTGAGTTCAAATCTCAACTTGGCCAAGTGCTAAACAGCAGTCCCCTACCCTTGGTAAGCCCAGTTTGCTGATCTTTACCACGGAGCTCAAAGCAAGTTTCTCACCACCCGGGTCAGGCTTAGATGGCAATGGAAGGGGATTGGCTCAGCATGGGGTGCACGTCAGTGCTCACTGCAGACAGGCTCTCTTCCCTCCCTGGAGGCCTCATGGGTGTCCCAAGCTCTGCTCTCCAGGTGTAAATGAAGGAGATGACCCAGCAGAATGGCGAAGGGAACGGAAGGACTAGTGAGCTCCAGGATGGACATAGAGACAGAGGCCTGGGTGGAGGCTGGAGCTGCCCAGGAGGGCAACTGTGGGTTCAAACCCAGGCCTGCTGGGCTCAGAGCCTGCACCTCCAGAGCAGGTGCCAGGCTCCCAGGGCCACACAATGCAAGGAGGTCTCTGAGATGGCTTGGGTCCTCGCCAGGACCAGTGGCCTGTGACATCTGGAGGACCTCAGGCTGAGGCTGGCACTTTCCAGGAGCTGGGTGAGAACTGTCACAGATGCCTAGCTGCTGTCACACTTGGGTGGCTGTCAAGGGCACAGGCATGTGCCAGCACCACCTTCTGACACCTGCATAGCCCAAACCTTTCAGACATGGGGCACGCATGCAGATCCCCTGGCACCTGGCCGTCATGCCCTCTACCACATGGGTGCCTGACCACTGTGCCGAGCCCACTGGCTGCTGCTGTTGACTCTCTTAGCTGGATCTTGGCAGCTCCCTGCTTGGGGACCTAGAGAGCTGGGGTTGCCCCTTTGCTGCCTCCACTCTCCCCTCATCATCCCCACTGCTGTCCTCCCCACTTGCCTGCCAGTTACCCCCATTGCTCTTTGAAGGAAGAAGGGTCCTGGTTGCCTGAGCCCAGTAGCCTGGAGCCTCCAGGCACACTGGTGACTAGGATGTGTTATGGTTGGGCTCATTTTGCTCTAGTTATGGACCTCACATGTGCTTACTGCATGCAATTTTAAAAGTAGATGCTAAGGTACATGTATGCATACATGCATATGCACATATGTGTGTGTGTGTGTGCCCTTGTGACCCCTAACAGTTGGGATATGTGGATGTCCTCACACACTCAACCAGGGGAATAAGTATTTCCTGAACACCCAGGCAGTTGAAACAACAGCCAAGGGACCCATGTTTTCGCCATGAAAACTTCTTTGCCTTTCTCCCGGGCTTATTTATGCAGGCAGTGATTCTCCAGCTGGGGAGACAGTGCTCTGGGGACCAGTCCTCTCCAAGCTCACTGAGCTGCTGGCAGAGTGCGGGTCTGTGTACCTGTGTGTCTGAGGCTCTGTCCCTGCTGCTTGTCACCCAGCATCCTTATTCTCAATTCTCAAGAGGCCACCACCCAGCATCCCTTGCCCTGTGACCCTCCCTCCACCTCCAAATCCAGTTGCACAAGCTTCGAGTTCCCATGACTCCTGCTGCCTTAGCTGCCTGCTGCAATCCTCCTGCCTCAGCCTCTCAGAGTACTAGGATTACAGGCGTGTGCCACCATACTTGGCTTCACGTCTCTTTATTTTAAGGTCAGCTGATTTCTACCCTTAGGTTTGTTTGTAATGCTCCTGAGTGCAATACCCAGGTTACTGGGAGGACCAGGGACAAGGCTTCTCAGGGGCATCTCGGGAACACCACCTGCCACCTTTGGGGTCATCCCCTGTCTGTCCTCCCCTCTGAGAGACCTTCAGCAGACAGCCTGGGGGTGGCAGTCCCAAGGACAAGGCTGGGGTTTACAATCGGGTGCAGAGTGAGCACTGCCTTGCCCCCTGCACCCCATAGATACCCCTGAGAGTCTTGTTCTTCCAGATGTTCCAAGCCATTGGCATTTCCCTCTGGGTCCTTTTGCAGGGATGAGGGTCAGGAGCCCACAGTGACCTACTTTCTATGAGGTTGGGCAGAACCAGAACTGAGCTATTCCGCCTCCTCCCTGTCTGTTCTTAAGCTTTGGTCTTGGCCTCCTTGTCGTACAGCTGAGGGTGTCAGCAAGGTGAGTAGGGGTCCAAGGTGTGCAAACTGGAGTATATGTGATGGGGTGGGAGTGGCTTAGCTTCACTCAGCTCCCAGTGTCCCTGTATCTGCTGGGGGGAGCCAGCCCCAGGGAATCTGAGGGAATATGTTGTGATGACTTGGTTTCCTTGGGGTCTGCCATTCCCTGGAGAGCAGGTGGGACAGGGACTGTGGGGGCTGCAGACAGAGCTATGTCTGGGCCCTGCCTGGTCTCACCCTTCCCCTGCTCACAGCCTCATGACTGAGGCCAAGCATTCCTGCTTTGTCCTCAAAGCCAGGTCACACATCTCATTTCCTCTGCTGTGTTGAAGCTCAGAGAGGTGCTCTGTGTCCCTGTCCACATCTCTTTGCCCCACAAGGAGGGTGGTCATTGGTAGTACTTGCTATTCTTGCTGTAGCTTTGTGTCCCATGTCCGCATGCTCCTGAGGGTCAGATCCCAGGACCAGAGATGCACCCTGAGGAAGTAGGTGGGAGCGCACGGATGATGCAAGTGACTTAGTTACTTTCTCATCACTGAGACACAGTATCCCATACCCACGAGTGAAAGGAGGAAATGTTTATTTTGGCTCACAGTTTGTAGAGGTTTCAGTCCATAGTTAGCTGACTCTGAGGCAGGGAGGCATTGCAAAAGGGCATCACAGAGGAGGAACAGCTTATAGCAGGCAGCAGGTGGCAGAGAGGGATCAAGGAAGGAGGAGAGACATGGACTCTTCCAGGCCTCACCGCCAGTGACCAACCTTCTCCTACCAGGCTCCACCTCCCAACATCACAGTTAGTTAGTTACAAACTCACCAGAGGACTGCTTCACTGATGAGTATTACACCCCCATGATCCAGTCACCTCCCCAAAGTCCCACCTATGAGTGCATGAGGCTTTGAGGAGACATCTAGATATAAACCATAACAGCAAGGAACTGTAGGTACGGGGAGTGTTAGCACAGAACCACCACTCTGAGGGTCTCGATCGGTCTGCATGACTTGCCTACATGGTGGGGGAAGAGATGGGGGTGTCAGAGTGGAGCGCCCAAGATACCTGATATGCCGGGGTGGGGCCCATCTCAAACTTCAAGCACCCACCACAAAATGCTGGCTTTGGGGAAAGGAAGAGAGTTTCTAGTGTGGGGCCTGGACTAATGTGGGAAGAAACCAAGGATGTCCCTGTATGTAGAGCAGGGGGTGGGAGGAGGGGAAGATGCAGGGGCCTAGGACTCCCATGAATCCCTAAACCCTAGGGACAGAGGAAGGAGGCTCCTCTCTAGAGATGAGAGTGCAGGGTACGGTGGGCTGGCTGCGGGGCCCCTGGGGGCTGGGCAGCTCCCTCCCTATGCCTCCTTTATTCTCATGCATCACAGCTTTAGTCCCTGGGTTTCTTTCTGTGGCCTCATCCCTCCTCTGTGACAGCCTCACCTCATCCCTGCTCCACCATGGCTTTTTTGCAAGAAGAGGAACTTGAGGCTGAAGAAGGAAGCATTTGTACACTGACCTTTGAACCACTAACATAAAGAAGCAAATATCAAGCAAGCTTACCCAGGGCAGTGTGTGTGTGTGTGTGTAGGGGACCCCTAGTAATTCCCAGCCTGGCATTATTAACCTGTTCTGACACTAGGTAGCAAGCATTGGTGGCAGCCGGAAGCTCCCATAATTCAGATGCCTCCCTGAGTCCTTGCAGGCCACACACTTTCCTAGGTTTCCAAGTGAAGGTGCCCAGGATGGGCACACAGTATGCCCATGTGCCCAGGGCAGCACCCGCTTCTCAGAAGAGCTTGGTCCCCTGCCCAGGAGGCCCCGAGCCTGACCTCCTTACACAATGTCCCGAAATCCCTGAGCCCCATCCTGGCTCTGAGAAGCAGCAGCCCTGTAGCTCCGGGTGGCCGCAGCTTGACTGGTTCCTCTACATGATTATCGAGTTCCACTCCATCCAGCAATACCTATGCTGGTAAACTCAGGTCTGTGCCCCCTTTGCACCATTGATTAATGCTTCCCAGAACCATGATGGTTTGCTCCGCAAGCTGGTCTACTTGTTGCTAGTGTGGCTGATCGAGTACATGTTAATGGTGGGCCTGTGTCAGTCAGTGCGTGGTTGGGGATGGTCCCTCTTACCCTCCATGCAGCTTCCAGATTTGTTCAGAGTCAGACTTCCAGTGAGGGAAGTCATGGCTCCTGTTCTCTTTGATTGCATAAAAGTTTAAACACGTGGATTTGGTTTTTTTTTTCCATACAGACTCAATGTAAAATGCATGTGGCCTTGGTAGGAATGAGCAGCTCACAGGGAGAGATGTTTGCTGCTGGGGCAGCAGGGGGTGGTGCCTCCCATAGGCTCCTCCCAGGTGCTTTCCGCTGAGACTGCTTGTGGAAGGGGAAGAAGGGTGTCCACCTT